AGGGTCAAGTGTATGAAATGGTAATTAAGAAGGTGTGTTATGTGTAGTAGTTGAAAGGAGTTGATCCAGACATCAAGAACAGTTCAGACACTTCACGACATTGAGGTGAGTTACCTTCCAGTAGAAGTTGGTCTAAGGCACCAAGGTCGGCCCACTAGTAAGAGTTATAGTATAGATCATTATCTTTGTGATAATTATCTGGTACATTGTTATCTGATATGATTGTATGCTAGCCTAATATGATGTAATGTGATAGTAGGTAGTAGGGGGAATAGTCCATATGTTACAATCCTAAGGACCGAAGGGTAGGTCGGGCACCCCAGATATGCACGACAGTATGTTTATGCTATGTTATTATGTGGTAGTAGTAGGGGTGAAATAGTCCCTGTAGCTGGTTGAGTTAAACCAGAGGGTAGTTCGACAACCTACAATTGCCAGATAGGGTAGGTTGGCACCCCAGAAATGCCAGACATGGTAGGTCGGCACCCCAGAATTGCTAGACAGGGTAGGTTGGGCACCCCAGAATTATCCGACAGTATGTTAGTTATGTGGTAGGTGGTATGATGGAGGAACTCATTAAGTTTCGTGCTTACAGATTTTAGTTTTGTTTTCAGGTACCTCTTCATCGAAAGGGAAGGAGTTAGCATGGTAGCAACGCTTCACACATACACACACATGAATTCCACATTATGAGATTCTTGAGATTGTACTCTGACATTATTACTATTCTTATGACATGGTTTTGAGACATGTGATTATGTTTTTATGAAACGATATGACTTGATGATGTTTTCTAATAAATGTTTTCTAAATCGTTATATCAAAAATGAAATTTTTGGTCTTAAAAATATGGATGTTACATAAAATGTCAATAGTTATAAAAAGCTATATGAAAAGTTGCCAACTAGCTTTATCCAAAAAAGACGATTCTAACAAAGAAGTCCAATTGATTTTTGCATGTTAGCAATTGGAAGACAAGTCAAATATTGGGTTCTTCAAATGATTTGGAAAAGTTGTAGGGAGATTCCCACCTGGGATGATGTCATGGTCATAACTACATTCATTTACGGCTTACAGAGTAGTATGATATTTTTTTAAAACAAAAAAATCCAAGGTCGAATTTCCAGAAAACCAAATAGTTACCCGGAAAGGTTAATCGGTGCATTAGACTAAAAAATGTTGCGACAAAAAAGACAAGAGTTGAACAACAGAAAAGTCAGGTGCTGGCTAACTAACAACAATAAGGAAGAAATAGGCACACCTTCTCCCTGCTATATTGGTAGGGGAAGTTCACAATGAGTTCCCTATTGCCTACTACAACTCCCTAATATTGCGAGACTTCGGAGAAAAAGATCCTCCTTTCCCGACAATACTAAGCATCCATTTATAGAATTGTGTTGCACACCTTTCTCATGACCAATCCTTGATTGAAACCCCTACAATTTGAACTTGAAACCTCCGCTACGGGGACCCAAGCTTTATAATGTAAACTAAGGTGCTAGTTATACAACTAATGAAGGGAAACTACGCTAAAGGGATTGACTCCGGGGAAAATGGTTTCCTTGGGACCTATCAGAGTTTTCTAAATACAACAAGTGTCAAGGACACTCCACGAAAGATTGTGAAAGACTATAGAAAAAAAAAAAAAAAAAAAACAAAAACCATATTCACTGGTTCCTATAACCATATGTGTCTTATCAAAATATTTTTCTATGGTTTAAAACAAGTTTCACGTTCTTATACTAATGCTTTGCTGAGTATGTATTTACCATTGGTTACTTCATAGTTAATCAGAATGCTCTTTTTTTTTATATATATATCGACATAATAATGCCCCCGCTTATCTCCTTATATGGTAGACACCATAATCATTTATGCAGCCAAATCATGCAAAATTTTCAAGGGAACTCATTATGAAATACTTCTGACCCATTAGTTATTCCTTTCCATTCAAGTCCTTCCGAACATTCAAGGTTTATTTCTCATACAAAAAAAAAGTATGTATTCGCACTTCTTGACTATGTGAGGATGAACACACCTATTAACACAATAGCAAATCTATCATTACATTATGCAACTTATAAGATGGTGCTACTCTTTATCAGATTCTTGTCGAGGCCCTCCAATATCTTAGTTACTCACATAATATGTCTTAAACTTACCTTCGAAACTCTTAACATCTTACTTTTATGCATTCTAAGTCCAAAATAAAGGTAACAATGTTAAAGGCATCCACAATGAGTGTTCAAGGGATGTTGAATAGAATATAATTGAATATAATATTGAAGAGATTGAAAGTGGAGTTACATGCTTATTGAACACATCATATTTATAGTGTAAAATTGTGGGGGCTATAAGAAATTATGAGTTCTCTCTTCTAGTTGACACTCCATTCAACTATGGGAGAATTGAATGGAAAGTAGATACCCTAAGTAAGTGTTGCACATAAATGTCTTAAACTTACCTTCTCAACTCTAACATCTTACTTTTATGCATTCTGTTCAAAATAAAGGTAACAAACTAACAATGTTAAGTAAGTGTTACGTACCTTGTTTACTTCCTATAAGATCACCATCGTTTAAATATTTAAAAAAACACATACCGAGACTACCGATTTAATTCATAATCAATTACTTAACTAAACTCAAAAGTTATTTAAGGCCAATATTTTAAAAGGCCCGAACTTGAATAGGCCCAAATCTTTTACATATTATGCAAGCCCATCATCTTATCTAAGTCCAAAAACCTTAATAAAGCCGATGACAATGTCTTAATTCCATCCATATATTTTTAAATATTAAGTTGTAACAACCTTTTTTATTTTTATTTCTCACAATCACCTTATATTAAAGCTTCCAAAATTAATTCAAAATTATTTAATTAATTTAATTATGGAAAACCCTAATTGCAGAGTTTAGAGTACGTGTGTGTATGTATGTATGTATGTAGGTGTGTGTATTTCTTTTTTGTTAAAATTGGCCCCTCTAACATATAAATATATAATAAACCATCATGTTTTGAAAATTGGCCCATTCTATACCTAGTTTGAATTAATAAACATTTCAAATAATTGCTTTTTATGGATTATTGATTTAGTTAAACTTATAAAAACAGCAACATTTTTCTATGTTTATAATGGTAAAGAAGCTTTAACTCTTTTATATATTACATATAAAATATAAATATTTAGTTATGATATGTGAAATAGAATCATATTTTACGTTTATTACTAACAAGTTAATGTTATATAATATAGTAATATACTACCTAAAATAGACAAAACGAATACATTGCCTAATCAAAATCATATACAGATCAGGTATTATGCTCTATATTTAAGCCTTAAAGGTTCATGTTATTCTATTTCTTGTGGCATTAATTAAGAAATGACCTAACATTATAGTTTATTACACGTCTTATTACCATTTTTGTGACATTAAATTAAATAAAACAGGGTCTAGCATTGTAATTTTTTTACGTGTCATGTAAAAATAAAAGGAAAGAAATAAAGACTTTTGTGACCATACCCATACGACAATAGGATGAACATATAAGGCAGTATGTATGCCACATGCATATGGTGCATGTGATGTGCATATGCATGTTACTTGTCTCTCGTTAATTTGGGGTCAATTTTCACAGTGTGAGTAGAAATTCATCGAAGTAAGGCACTCAGTTATTTATTCATGTATTGTTGTTAATTCTCTGAAAATATTATTTATTCAAATCAGCTAATATATTTACTTATTTGCTAAGTTATATTTGAAAATACAAAAATATATAATGTGAAATGAAAAATATAAGATTTAGACCAAATAAATGAAACGAAAAAATATTCTTTAAAATTAAGGAAACTTTAATATACTCTGATTACCTTTTATATTGGTAAATATGATAGAAGTTAACTTTTCTTAATATCTTAAACCAAATAGTCAAGACCTTATGGATGTTACATGGAACTATTGAATTTGCCTAAATAAGAAAATAACCACATTAAATTTTTTTAAGTCATGTGAATATAACCTTCTCTATTTAGTTCACATCAAAACTATAAATGCAAGGGTTAAATATAAAAATGAGTAATATTTTCTTTTTTGCTTGATATATATTATAGATTTATATTTTTTTTATTATTATTTCCTATTATAACATTTTTATTTTTATTAAATTTATAATGGCATTCCAAGACAAATCTACTCTTTTTGGTACATTTTGCTAGCTTTTTCAAAATATAACAACTTAATAAAAATAGTTATCACCACGTAAATTTAAAAATACAACACCTTAATAAAATAAAATATAGTTTTATTATGTAAATTGAAAAATACAACACCTCAATAAAATAAAATAAAATTTAGTTTTATTATGTAAATTGAAAAATACAACACCTCTATAAAATAAAATAGAATATAGTTTTATTATAGAAATAAATAATAAAATTGTTTAATATACAGATAAAGAAAATATATCTTTATTTTCCTCCATTTAATCCTACACACAATACTTGAAATCGTTTGTCTAAACCACATATAAATACATTTTAACCTCATGATTGGTTTTTATCAAAATCGTTTTGATAGTTGTAAGCTAATTCACTCTAATAGAAGGATTTTTTTTTCCCAATATCAATATTTAAATGTTTACTACGTCAAATTATGCCAATTTTTTCCCTCTAAATTTATAACAATGTGCTTACACTATATATTCTTTATTTTTCAATTTAATAATACTACAAAAATCTATCATCAAGCTCTGATAACATCGTTTTCTGTCGAATAAACATATTTCATATCTTAGACTATAATTTTTTATCGTACATTTCTTTGGTAATAACTATAGGGTATGGGGAAATTTCAAACTTTTAGAAGTTTTAACCATTTATAAGTCATAACCATAGTAAATGCATTTCATTCACTTTTTTCTTGTATATATATCATCACGAAATCTCCTTCATTCGAATCATCACCATCTTCACTCACTCAAGCTTTACTTTCAAAGCCATGGAGTCTCATTGCTTCCTTTTGGTCTTCTTTCTCTTGGTTGCAACTTCTGTAAGTTTGTTTTTCCCTCTTTAATCTTTTACATTTTGCACATTTCATCAAATGCTTAGGTTAATAGTTTCATAATGTACAAGTTTCAATTGCATAACATACAAGGTTCGATGCATGATGACAAGGTTAACTGTCAAGTTTTGTTGCATAATGTATAGATTGATTTAATTCATCGCATATCATAAACGCTATTTTGCATAATGTACAAAAGTTTAAGTTGCTAAATTATATGTTCGTATGGATATGAGAATGTTAAGTCACGTTTGGATATTTCATTCAATAACACTATTATAGTGGACAATTTTAATGCACGATGTAAAATATTAAATGCACTATATCAAGTCACTTAAAAATGATGAATTGTCATAATTTGTGCACAACAGACAAAATGATAAATAAATTTTTACTATAATTTGTAGTTTCGTACATTTGGCAAACATATTGCATACTAGCATTATTATACTTAATATTAATTACATCATGTTTGCATAACTCCATATCCGATGCTTTTAGTGGTTGTAACACATATATGCATGGATGTTTGTACATTATCTACATTGATATCATGTTTGTACATTATCTACATTTATATCATGTTTGCATAATAACTTGATATACGATACATTAATTAGTTTATATTTAAATATGAAAACATGTTTATTTAAAGGGACTATTTTTTTTCTTATAGGTTACACATGTTGGTTTTGCTGCACCACTTTTCATACCACTCCCTTTGACACCACCAACGCCACCTGTCGGTTACCCACCACCCATCACTCCTTCACCCATCGTTGTTCCAGGTGTACCATGTTCCCCCACACCTTCGCCATCACCCACAGTTTCTCCGCCAGTTTATACACCTCCACCGGTTCCAAACCCACCTGTACCTGCTCCAACACCATCTATTTCACCCACCCCACCCCCATCGGGGATAGTCTGCCCACCTACAGCAACACCACCTGCTAATCCACCGACACCCGTTCCAACTCCATCGATAATCTATCCACCACACCCTCAGCCACCCATTGTCACTCCTACTCCGAGCAACCCGCCTAGTATTGCTCCAAGTATATGCAACAGCACAACTCCACCACTGCCAGCTCCAATGCTTCCATATCCACCAACCAATCCACCTTCTAACCCACCTGTTGTAACTCCACCACCTCCAATGACACCGGCAGTTCCATCTTCTCCATATTCACCAACCACCCCACCTCCTAACCCAACTCCTGGTACTGCACCACCACCACCAGTGACACCGGTAGTTCCACCATCTCCTTATTCACCATTAACCCCACCTCCAAACCCAGTTAGTGGTGCACCACCACCACCTCCAGTGATATCCATAGTTCCACCATCTCCTTATTCACCCAATACCCCACCTCCTAACCCAGGTGCATCACCACCACCTCCAGTGACACCGGTAGTTCCACCATCTCCGTATTCACCAATAATCTCACCTCCTAACCCAGTTCGTGGTGCACCACCACCACCTCCAGTGACACCGATAGTTCCACCATCCCCTTATTCACCCATCACCCCACCTCCCAACCCAACTCCCGGTGCAGCACCACCGCCTCCAATGACACCGATCGTTCCACCATCTCCTTATTCACCCATCACCCCACCTCCCAACCCAGCTCCCGGTGTAGCACCACCACCTCCAGGGACACCGATAGCTCCACTGCCTCCTTATTCACCCATCACCCCACCTCCCAACCCAACTCCCGGTGCACCACCACCTCCAGTGACACCTATAGTTCCACCATCTCCTTTTTCACCCATCATCCCACCTCCTAACCCATCTCCTTATGTAACTCCAACACCTCCAGCGACACCGATAATTCCACCATCTCCTTATTCACCAATCACCCCACCTCCTAACCCAGCTCCTCGTACAACACCACCACCTCCAGTGACACCAATAGTTCCACCATCTCCTTATTCACCCATCACCCCACCTCCTAACCCAACTCCTGGTGCAACACCACCACCTCCACTGACACCAATAGTTCCACCGTCTCCATATACACCTAACCCTCCACCTTCTCCTACACCATCTCCTGGGACACCCAGAGTTCCACCACCTCCATATACACCCAACCCCCCTTCTTCACCTACACCAACTTCTCCTCCTAGTGTACCACCAAGTCCAGTGACACCAACACCTGCACCGCTTCCATATCCACCCAACACTCCACCTCCAACTATTCCACTAACGCCACCTTGCATCACCACACCTCCACCACCTACTAATTCAACTCCATTATCTCCCGATTCACCCAAGACACCACCACCCTTTGTCCCACAGCCAATCACTCCACCATCTCCAAATTCACCCAAGACGCCACCGCCAAATTTCCCACCCGCAATCATTCCACCATCTCCCAGTCCATCCATCTTCCCTCCGTATTACCCTATCGCGGCTATCCCCCCACCACCTTGCACCGATGCTCCACCGTTGATCGGCAAGCCACCATTAAACTCGGAAGGTACATACTAATATAATCAACGACTCAACATTTTCATTCTATCCCGAGCTATAAAATATTTGTTTAATAATTTATAATGATGGATCATATCTTGTAGAATGTTTTTCATCATGTGAGTTAAGGTGCGGGCTAGACTTGAAGCAAGACAGATGCCATCGAAGTTGCATGGCGTGTTGCCATCGTTGCAATTGTGTTCCACCGGGACAATATGGAAACAGAGAGATGTGTGGTTCGTGCTACACTGATATGAAAACTCTTGCTGGAAGACCCATGTGTCCTTGAATCTACTTTATATAATTAGTTCCCCATTCACATGCATGAGGGAATCAATAAAATTATGTTTGCTAATTATGGAAATTAAAAATAACTTGGTTTTGGATTGTGGTATCTACTTGCGGATCAATCAAAAGCATGGACACTTATTTTGAATGAATGCATGCGTTATTATAGCAATCTTTTATTTGTTTTGAACTCAAAAACGTACAAAATCATAATATTAGAATCAGCAGTGCATTTATATATCCATCTGATTATTAACACGTTAAGTAACATTAATTAAGTTTGAAGTAAATGCATAACACGTAGACGTTAGTTGTAACTCAAATAAAAATAAAGAATAAATGAACTTTCACTCAAGATTTTTGGCATTAAATTGAAGGTCGTCTTTGTAATTTACACACGAAGGGCAATGTTGTACTTTAGTTAAAAGTAATTAGTTAGTAGTTTGTTAGAATCGTTTAGTTAGTTAGTTTCATTTTAATATAAAATGTAAGTTTCTTTGTCATTGATTCAGTAATGAGAAACAAACACTTAAATCTTTCTCTTCATTTTTACTCTGAAAGATCACATATTTAGATAAGGAAATTTTGCTCAGATCCCAACTCGATCAAATGGAACAAAATTCCAAGAGTAAAACGAATAATCTAAATTTATCAAAGATGATGCATAATCCTTGAATGAGAAAGAAAGTAAGTAATTATGAGAGTTTATCTTCATAAATGAGACTTTAAGTTGAGATGATCCACTTTGAACCCATCAAGTATTCCACTTTATTCATTTACTCCAACTATGCACAACACACCATCTTTTATTCCTATATTTAGTTAATATACTTGTTAAAAGTGTGAAGGATTTTATTCGGAGAAGTTATGTTATTTTGTGAAAATTTTTGATAAAGTTCTATAAATTTATTTTAGAGTAAATTACTGAAATCGTTTCTGTAGTTTGATCAAAATTGCACATTTGGTCTCTAATTTTTTTTGGCACTCAGATCGTTCTTGTGGTTTGATTTTGTTGCGTTTTTCGTCCCTATAGTTTGGTAAAAATTGCATGTTTGGTCCCTAACTTTATGTATGTAATGGACGAAAAATGCAACAAAATCAAACCACAGGGACAAAAAAACGGAACAAAATCAAACCACAGGGACGATCCGAGTGCAAAAAAAAAATTATGGACCAAACGTGCAATCTTAACTAAACCATAGGGACGATTTCAGTAATTTACTCTTTATTTTAATAGAAAAGTTAACATATAATCTATTATTTTTTTTCAAATATAAAAAATGATTTTTTCGTAAATTTTGATAAATATTAAATAATCGAGATTTTTCTGTTCAAAATTTTTTTAGAACTTTATTAAAATATTTATCAAAATAATAAGACTTTTCTGCATAAAATCCAAAATACGAATGTGTTAGAAAAAAAAAAAAAAAAAAAAAAAAAACCCTTTGTATTTAGTACATTTTAATAGAAAAACTATTTTAGAAAGGAATACAGAATTCTAACTTTTTCATAAAATCCATGGGTTATAACTTTATTTAAATTTTAAATGCTAAAAACCTGTTAGGTAACATTTAGATGATATTGTTGTTTTTGTGGGATTTGGAATTTATCAAAAAAAAAAATTGCATTTTTTGATGTGTTTGATTGGTAGTAGGATTAGACATTTAAAAAAGTATCCATTTTTGTTACGAGTAAAATGGTTATATGTATGTTTGAAAACTTGGAAATTATTGGTCAAAGTAAATTTGGGTATATGACTTTTGTTGATAATCATAAACCAATTACCCACCTACCCACCTTCGTAGAATCCAGATGGACAGTGAAGATGATGTTCTGATCTTATCTAGATAGCCTGAGGCTGAGCATTCATCCATGTCTTCTCCTTCAAAACCTTATCCCTCCGATTTCTAAACAAAACCCTACTCACACTTTCCTCTTTTGCTTCAAAAATGGCCGCGATTTTCTCTTGCCACTCCTGTTCTTCTCTCTTCACCAATTCCAAATCGTCTCTCTTCAACAACCGTAAACATTCCATTAACTACATTCGTTTATCACATTCTCCCAACAATGCTTCGGTTCGTCGATTCCGACCTATTTGTTCTTCGCAAAACCCTAATCGACTTCAATCTACCGACAAACAGGTGCGTATCGGTTTTTACTTCTAATCTCTACACCTTGATTCTCAATTACTCCATAGAGAACACGAATAAATTGCATTTGGATTTTGAATGTTAATGGAGCTTTCGTCGTTTCTCTTATGGCAGATAGATAGGTTTTCCGGGGTAAAAGAATGTGTGTTATCTGTAGCTTTGACAATTGGATTGATAACTGGGGTGCCATCGTTGAGCTACCCGAGTAACGCCGGGGCTGTTACTCCGGCGTTGCCGGATGTAGCAGTGCTGATATCCGGACCTCCGATCAAGGATCCCGGAGCTTTACTGAGATACGCTTTGCCGATTGATAATAAAGCTATCAGGGAGGTCCAGAAGCCTCTAGAAGACATTACTGATAGTCTTAAGGTTTCTGGAGTGAAGGCGCTTGATTCAGTCGAAAGAGTGAGCATCTAATTTGTTTATATTGTTTACCACATCGAAACACTCCTAAAGAAAAAAAATTTTGGAATGATTATCGACAGAGTATGAAATTTTGTTTTGTTGTGAATTGTAGAATTTGAAGCAAGCTTCGAGGGCTCTAAAGCAGGGGAAGAGTATGATTATAGAAGGATTAGCTGAATCAAAAAAAGACCATGGAATTGAATTGATTGGAAAGCTAGAAGTTGGAATGGAAGAGCTTCAAAAAATCGCAGAAGATAGAAAACGAGATGCTGTAATACCTAAACAGAAAGAGCTTTTGCAGTATGTTGGAGGGTGAGTATCATTTTTATTATTTATTTATTTATTTTTTGTAATACTAATGCATAAAATGTTGTCTAGATAAATAATGTCCAAAAAATATATGAGAAAATTGCTTGCATACTTGATTTCAATGTGAAGAGTTGTGTGAAAAAAAGGTCAGACTAGCTGAAAAGTTGCTGGTAGCTGATAAGCTAGTAAAAAGTAGCTTATAAGCTAAATTTCAACGTAAAATGACATAAATGGATATTTAGATATATAACCAAAAGAAAAAGAATAGATATAATTAAGGGTATATTTGGAATATTTTTGAAAAAACTCCATAAGCTTACAAAAGCTATCTCAAAGTAGCTTATGAAAAGGTAGTTTATAAGTTTAGGCCTTCGTCTCATTGACATCAGTATCAGTCCAATGTATATGAAAAGCAGCAGTAGCATTACTACTACTGATTAAGAAACATAGGAAAAAGGAAGTCTGTAAATAGTTTTTTTTTTCTCATTTATACCCTTGTCCATTGACTGCAGGGGCATTATTGGGTTTCTGCAGTGTTGAAGAGGACATGGTGAATGCGTTCCCATATGAGATCCCAGAAGAGTATCAAAACATGCCACTTTTGAAAGGAAGAGCAACAGTTGACATGAAAGTCAAAGTCAAAGACAACCCTAACCTTGAAGAATGTGTATTCAGAATTGTTCTTGATGGCTATAATGCGCCTGTGACAGCTGGCAATTTTGTAGATTTGGTGGAAAGACACTTCTATGATGGCATGGAAATCCAACGAGGCATATGATTTTTTTTTTAATCATCTCTCACTCAATCTATATATCTGATAAAACATTTTCTTTTTGTAGCTTTTTTTAATTATTTTAAAATTTTATTATTTTAGCGGACGGATTTGTTGTTCAAACTGGAGATCCGGAAGGTCCTGCTGAGGGTTTTATTGATCCGAGTACTGAGAAAACACGGACAATTCCTTTGGAAATTATGGTGGAAGGTGAAAAAGCTCCTGTTTATGGAGCAACATTGGAAGTATGTTTTATTTATTTACTTATTCTTACATTTAAGATTCAAAACCTTTAAGCTTATTTTTGGCGAGCGAGTTGAAAAGCTAGCTATTAGCTAAAAATCTAGCTGTTATATACAAAGTTGATAGCTGAAAAGCTAGTCGATAAAATTTAATGTTTGGTAAAATTAGCTGAAAAGCTAGCTGATAAAATTTGACGTTTAATAAAACTAGCTGAAAGATATTAAGGTTGTGTTTGGCGGATCACAGCTAGCTGAAAAACTAACTTATTTTTCGAGTTTTTTTAAGTTGTCGTGTTTGGCAAGCCAAAAAGTAGCTTAAAAAGCTAGTTTGTAAGCTAGCTTTTTTATAAAGCTACTTAGACTAGCTTTTTAGGAGCTTTTTAAAAAAAATTCAAATATACCCCTTGATTTGTTATAAAAACATATTATTTTAAATGTCCTTTTATGTCGTTTCATATTTTTCAGTTAGCTTTTCAGCTAATTTTACTGAGCTTCATTTTTTATCAGCTAGTTTTTCAACTATTAGCTAGATTTTCAGCTATTAACTAGCTTTTGATTTAAGAGCTAGCTTTTTAGCTATCAGCTAGTACGCCAAACATAGCTTAAATAACATAAAATAACATTTAGAAGAATATGTTTTCTATAACTAATTAAGAGTTTTTTTTTTTTTGGAAAATTATAAAAAAGCTCTTGAAAAGCTAATCTAAGCTAGTTTTTTAAAAAGCTAGCTTATAAACACTTTTTGGCATTGCCAAAACATGACAACTTAAAAAAACTTAAATAAGCTAGTTGTGTCATGTCAAAGACAACCTAAGTTTAACTAATATCATTTGCATATCATGAAGGACATTGGTCTCTACAAGGCTCAAACAAAGCTACCCTTCAATGCATTTGGAACCATGGCGATGGCTAGAGAGGTAAGTTATTATCATTACAATTATTATTCTAATAATAATAAATAAATAATAAGTTTGGTTTGGTTTTTTTTGTTACAGGAATTTGAAAACAACTCGGGGTCAAGCCAAGTGTTTTGGCTATTGAAAGAGAGTGAATTGACACCAAGTAATGCGAATATATTGGATGGAAGATATGCAGTGTTTGGATATGTGACAGAAAATGAGGATTTTTTGGCCGATTTAAAAGTGGGAGATGTGATAGAATCAGTTCAAGTGGTTGCAGGATTGGATAATCTTGTTAATCCGAGTTACAAGATTGTTGGCTAATTTATTAATTTTTCTTTATTTTATGAGGATTGGTTTGGGAAGTATAAGTGTAATGGATTACATTACATTATGAGGGAATTGTTGTAAGGTGTAATAATACTTATATTTATTTACGTTGTTTTTATAAGTTATGTAATGGATTCTTGTACAAGTTTTTGGAATAAAATTTGGTTGTAATAAATGGTTGAGATGATTAAGTGTTTTTTGTGACAACTTTCTTAAAATGTAGCTATGGAAAATGGAATACCATTTTAAGTAAATGCAAATATTACTATCATCTTTGAAACTAGTCAAATTACGAACATGACCATTTTAAGAAACTGCTAATATTAATATCATCTTTGAAACTAGTTAAATTAAGAACATGTTTTTTGTTGATAAAAGGTACTACAAAGCTCTGAAAGTTTTGAACAATTTTCGAATATGTTGAGTAGTTTCAAGTTTGTTCATTTGTATGTATAGTTTTTGTTTCCAACTTGTTCTTTCTGTTAGATCTCCACTGAAAGGATACAAAAAGAAAGAAGTCTAAAGAGAAAAAACGAATGGAGGAGAGAATGATAATGGATGATGGAAGAAAGATAATGATAATGAATACTGATCATGTGTATAAAGACAGAAACATAAGTGATTAAATATGTACAAAAAAACATAAATAACTAAATATATACAAAAATAAACATAACTGATTAAATGTGTACACAATCTAAAGTATATTACCTTTTTAGTGTATTATCAAAAATAACATGTAAAAATTGTTGCAAGAAAACTTACTAGAGTACCATAAAACTAAATAACTATTGATAACTTATACTTAATTAGTATTTTGATTCAGATTATCACTTTACATACATCTAAAACTCGCCCCAAAAATCAAATTTACGAGTGTCAAACTCAAAAAGTGTAAAAAGCTAAAAACTTAGGATGTTTCGAGCGTCAGGGTATGAAATACAAAAGACAAGAAAGTGGAGGGAGCAAAATGTTTGAATGAAAAGTAGAGGGGGTTAAATGTAGAAAACTTAAAACACAAATGCAGAGGATAAAACCGCCCAACCACTGATATCCAACGGATGAGGCAAAATATCAAAAGGAAATATTCAAACTCCGACGCACTCCACCGTCAGACATGGTGGTTATCACCTCCATCACCACCACAACCAACACCAGTCTCACACATATCTACACCCTAACCTGCAACCCTTCAACAACCTCTCTTCGTTACTTCCGCCACCTCCCCAAAACAACGAACTCCACCATTTCCAGATCATCCAATGGAGTCCTGGTTATTAAGTCTTACATGGAAGACTCCAACACCATCTCCGGCTTCGCCAACAAAGTCATCGGCGCCTTGCCTGTAATCGGCCTCGTCGCCAGAATTCTAACTGACACCGGTGGCGTCGGCGGCGATTTCATTGATTTCGCAGAGTTTCGGAGAAGAGTTGGGAGGAATGCTTCCGTGAATGATTCTAGAGCTTTCATCGATTTCCAGGATCGACGAGGAAAGGTACCTACTCCTCTATCACTCCATTCCTAATCTATCGCGAACAAATAATTCAAAATTCATCGTAATCTAGGGTTTCTCAAACTTACAATTTTGTTTCTGATTTAATCGCGAAATAGGCAGGGGATCCTCTATACGTGTTGATGTGCTGTTGGCTAGCTGCACTAGGTGCAGGATTGCTAAAATCTGAAGAAATTCTCGAAGGAGTTATGAGACTTCGGATCTCGAACGACATTGAATTCGAAGAAGAAACTTTCATCGCGATGATGAATGAAGCAAGAGAGGTTCGTTTAATCGTTTATGATTTTCGAAAACTTATGAACATCAAATTAAACGTTTCATGAATCGTAAATTGTGATATAACTGTTGAAATACAGAGAAGATTGAAGTCAAAAGTACCTGCATCAACGATTCCAATGGAGGCGAGAGCTGAGAAGGCGTTGGATGCGATATACGTGTGTTGTTTTGGAAGAGATGTGATTGATGAAGAAGATGAAAGGCAATTGCGTATAATGTTGAAAGTAGTTTTTCCTTCTGTCGGACAAAATGAGATCGATAGGATTGTGAAGGCGAAGGCTAAAAAAGTAGCGGAAGGAGGTGAAGAAGACAGGTTCCCGGAGCCGAAGCCGTTGTCTAAAGAAGCTGTGCAGCTGCAAATGAAAGATCTTCAGTTTCTCCAACAAAATAACGATAGTTAAATTTGTAGTTTCGTTTACGTAATGGCACAGATCTGAGTTATATATGAGTAATTATTTTTGTGATGTGATACGAAAAGAAAGGGTAAAATCTGGATAATTTAGTGTAAATTTTGGGGAAATCTTCGTAAAACTTCCAATATTTTAGAAAAATTTATGTTTTTAATTCTATTTCTTTTAACAAGAAAAACTAGGATATCAGATAAATTGAACATGTGGGCCCATTTCTTCCGGTGACCCACAAGCAACCCTTGGTGATGTGGCATTAAGTGGTTTATGTGGAATCATACTCAAAGTTGTCTCTCATTTCATCTTTACTCACACTTTCTTTCTTTCTCGTTTCACCGTTCTCAGTAAATTAAGGTTTTTATCCTTCTTAAAGACCTACATATAGGTGAAAATGGAAGAGATCCATGATTTGGATACCATTGATGTGTAGTTTGATGAGTATTTTAAAAGGAAACCAATTTCCTGATGTGAAGACGAGTTTCTCAATGTTCTTTGTGAAGAAGATGATGACGCAAATGATGGTGTTGAACCTCAAAACAATGGAAAAGAATCAGACAAGGACTATGTGGAAGGTAGTAATGTTCTTTGTGAAGAAGATGATGACGCAAATGATGGTGTTGAACCTCAAAACAATGGAAAAGAATCAGACAAGGACTATGTGGAAGGTAGTAATGTTCTTTGTGAAGAAGATGATGACGCAAATGATGGTGTTGAACCTCAAAACAATGGAAAAGAATCAGACAAGGACTATGTGGAAGGTAGTGATTATGAAGATAGTGAAGATGATTTTGAGTGTTCCACCCACAACCTAAAGGTGAAATGGAACTTAATGAAACCAATGTGTTGTGAAATGTATGAACCCTCACATGGATTGGATTTATGTTTAACCAACTATGCAATTAACAAGGGTTGTCAAATTTGTTTTCAGAAAGTGTGATAGTGTTAGACTAATGGTAATAATATGTGGCGGTGATCCAAATAAGTGCCCATTCATAATTAGAGCTTCTTGGATGAGTACCAAAATGTCATTCCAAGTAAAAAAGATGGTAGACCTACATACACGTGTTAGGAGTTTTAACAATTCAAATTTTATGAATCCTACCTAGTTAGCAAGGCAATTTGTGAAAGAGTTGATGGACACAAAATACTACACCCTAATCACATAACAACATTCGACATGTTCATACTAGCCTAACAATCCTTAGTCATAACCGAAACAAACATAACCAAAACACAATAATATTACTTCAATCCATTTTGTGCCTATCCTACCAATCCTTCAACATAACAAACACAAACACAAAAGAAACCAAAAACACATAAAACACTACTTAAGCATTCGAAGAAAGCCGATCTTACTCAACAAACACCTTTCTTAGCTTAGTAAGGTTTCCATCCTCCACATGGATTTTCATGTTAAATGCGAACTTATTCCACCTGTTGTTGTGAAGGTTGTTGTTCCACAAAGTCTCTAAATATTCTAGGGTTCCCCATTGGTTGTTATTGCAGAAACTCTCCAAATATTGCATGGTTCTCCAAATTAACATTGTTGTGAAATTCTAGCAACAAGTTTGCATACAACTGGTTTTGTTTGAGGAGGATCGATCCAATGAAAGTACTTGCAGTCTTTGAGTTCATCCTGGTAATTTGGGCAGCCTATGAACCTTTTTCCTAGGTTGAAGGGAGTCCATGAAGTCCATCTTCCTACAACACCACAATAGCACCTGCTTTTCAAACGATTTGGCCTTTGGCTTGCTACAGAAGACGAAGACGAAATCAATGCTCCTGGTGCTGGTGCAATTTTAGGTCAAGAATGAGGGTTAATAGCCATTAAATACAATCTCAACAACCCTTCTTTATTGACTCATCAACTATCTCATCAAGTCATGGACACGTTATCAAAGGTTATCGTGTAACATCCTGTATCGAATCGTCTATGATTTAGGGTTCGTGGGCTGCAACCCGGGCATGAGGAAGCCTTGAGGCTGCGACGATTTACTAGAAGCGTAGGGCTTCTCACCACCTTTCCGTGGATATAAGGTTCGTTGGAAACAGACTTATAACGAAGAAGTTATGATAGTTTGAAGTTTTGGCAAGTTTATCCTTATTGAGAAATGGGTGGAAAATGAGTACGCGGGGCGTAAGTTTGTACGCTCAACGTACTTATGTGCGTAGCATGGATGCGGAGACCACCTAATACTTTGGGCGTACCAGAGGGTACGCTAGGCATACTAGGCAGAGAATGTAAACCCTAATATTTTAAGGAGACCCTATTTAAGGAACATGATGGCCTCATTTTCAGCCATCATTTCGAGTCTTCAACTCCCTTCAAAACACTAATTTCCGTTTTCTTAGCTTGAGTGGGCATTTGAAGCTTTTGAGTGTTCTTGGTGGGATTCTTGGGTGGAGAAGGAGCTTTGAAGAGAGTAGAGTTGGAATCCAAGCTTTGGATCTGAGTTTCCCTGTAGTTGGATGCATCATTTGGAAGTATCAAGCTCAAAGCTTTCTCATTGTTTTGATTTGTGCATATTGTGGTTCATTTTAGGGTTTATGTCCCAAAGCTTGAAGCTATATGAGTTTGTTGAACTCCAGAGCCTAATACATATCCCTTTAAGTGTCTCTAGTGGAGTGAACTCATAAAAATGGAATCTTGGACGTTAAGATCTCCCCATGCATGATATATGATAACTTTTGTGAGTAAAGAGTGAGAGTTTATGAGTTCTAGACTTGCTCGGCCATGCCAAGGCTTAAAGTCGCAAACTTTATGGAGTATTAGCCTTTAGTGAGTCCAGATCTGAGATTATAGCTATGGTCTTAACGGATTAAGACCAGGAGAGTGGGATATGCAAGTCTGGGACGTACGCTAGGCGTACTCCCAGATATACACAACATAGCGATGAAGTTTCCTGATGCATGCATGGCGAAGTGGTACGCCCAACGTAAAGGGTTGTACGCCTAGCATACACGCTTGGATTGACTTTTAGGGATTGGTCAAATTTTGGACTTTAGAGTCCATGGGAGGGTAAAATGGTATTTTATCCTTCTGAGAATTAGTGGTGGGTTAGCCTAACATCCTTGGGGGTCGTTTATTAATTATAGTTAATTACGATATGTGCTAGGAGGAGGCTAGACTGGTGGTTCGAGTACGGGACATACTTGCTTTACTTACGAGGTGAGTCTTCTCACCATACATACCTGAGTGGTAATACTGATTGACCGAAGGGTCTTATTTGAGTTATCGACCAGAGGGTCCTATGTGCTTATATTGAGTTATGTGATATTATGCATTTTGTCTTTGTGATATATGCTATATTATTATGTGCTTTACTGAGATAGGACTAGAGGGTCCAACCCGAGTTGTGAGATCGGAGGGTCCTCACTGAGATACAGGACTGGAGGGTCCAACCCGAGTTGTGAGACCGGAGGGTCATCACTGAGACACATGACCGAAGTGTCCACACCAAGCCGTGAGACCGGAGGGTGCTCACCGAGACGCATGGCCGGAGGGTCCATGCCGAGCTATAGCCATACGAGGCTTATTATTTATGTATGTGGTATTTTTGGGAACTTACTAAGCTTCGTGCTTACCGTGTTGTGTGATATTGTAACACCCATAAAATTCAAGACAATTTAAAACATTTTTAAAACATTTAAAACCATTAAGTTAGTACAATTTGTTTTCAAAATAGTTTAAGCATCAGAGTATCCCCATAATCAATTCATGAAAATATTAGGAGGTGCACGATCATGCCTTCGCCTTCCCGCGATCATCAGAGTACCTGAAACAATAATCAATAAATGTAAGCTCGAAGGCTTAGTGAGTTGCCCCCAAAATACCAACACCATACGGATATAACTATATCATATAAACATACATCAAACAACATGCATAACGAGCCTTCAGCCTGACTGGATCGCCTCGCAGGGCCTACAACATATATGGACCGTTCCTGAGCCTTCAGCATGACTTGACCTACTCGCAGGGCCTACAACCTATCTGGATTGCTCGGCGGGCATGTTGGCCTTCAACACAAAGCATGACCGCCTCAACCCAACCACAACCATATATGTCGACATATACAATAACACATAATCAATCAATAATAGGCACATATCATACAGATCACTAAGCATAACATTATCCTATCTATCAGGATACTGATCTAACAAACCGTACTAGCATAATAACATCCTATAATCAGGACAATAAACTAAAGGGTCGGGCTTAGTGCCTTAGACCTTGTTGATATAGTGAGAATAACTCACCCGACACTGCTGAAGTCTAACAGATAAAACTCCAACTGCTGGTTGACAACTTCCCGAACTGTCAACATCAAACAATACCCTATTAATAATTGGTTCCAAGCCCAAGGTCCAACTCATACTCCAAAGGCCCAAAAGTCAAGTAATGGGCCAAAGACCAACATATGGCCCAATTTTCCAAATTGGGCCCAAACCGTTACATGGTTATAATTAAAGGCCCAACTACTTAGTCCAGTCCAAACATTTGGTATTTCCAATGGCCCAATATTATATAATCATCAAGGCCCAAAAATATGGCCCATCTATGGCCCAATTTTCCAAATTGGGCCCAAACCCTCATATGGGCCTTACCCGAAAGCCCATTAATTTATTCTAGTCCATTTGCTTGTTCCTGGATGGCCCATTAATAACCCAATTACCAAAGCCCAATAGAAACGCCCAACACAAAGCCCAAGTGAAATTAGGGTTGCACATAAAATGATAATTAGGGTTAAGTGTTTCTTACTTAACTCATTAAGGACTTAATCCATTAAGTCTAATATTGACGTAGGTTAATTTGCCAATGATTATTATTTAATATTTCAAGTTATTAAATAATCCCTTTGTGTGTCCCGATTAATCCTCAAAATTTAGGGTTTTATGTCATTAGGGTTTTCCAAACCCTAATTAGGGTTTCCTGCCCAATACTAGCCCATTAGTCAATTGGTTGGGCTTCTAGGTCACCTTGGGCCTTATTGGGCCATAAGGGTTTTATTAGGTCAATTAGGGTTTCCTTGGGTCCATTAGGGCTTCATTGGGCCCACTTTGGCCAAGCATTCCCCAAACAAGTCAAACACAATAAGGCAAGCACACCTCTACCCGACACGACGGCCGGTGGCGGCAGGAGGCGGTAGCCACCACCTTACGGTGGTGGTTACAAGTTTTCTATTGATTATTCCGGTATGAATTCAATTACAACACCATCCAAAACACACACAGAGACTAATAAAATAACACACACACAACCACCATTGTGGTGGCCGGTGGTGGTTCATGATAGCAACCACCATGGTTGGCAGTGATGGTGGTCCCTTTACACTTCCGGCCAACAGTAACAGGCCTAAAAACGAATGGCAACAGCAACACTCGATGAAATACACCAAACGAATGTAGCCACCCACCTGGACGTAAAGTGGTCGGAGGTCATCAGCCAAGGCGAAGTAGCCGCATGGCGGCGGTGGATCCCCACAACATCGATGAAGAAAGTGAACGGAGGGTTGTGACATCAGTAGAGAGGGGCTAACGGCTGCTAGACGTGTTCAACTAGCCTCCCCACGACCACAGGGTTGAACTCGGACACTTGCTTTGTCGGTGATTAGAACAACAACGACGCAATCGACGGCGTCAATGAAACAGTGGAAGGATCCAACCATTCGCGGCCCACACATCGGTTTCCGGCTTCCACTCGGTCTTCGGCGTTCACAGCTTCTACTATGGTAGGAGCTTCAGCAACGACAGCATGAAAGACGACGCCCTTAGCCACAACAGGAACAGTGAAGGCGGATACTATCCGGTGGTCCTCGCCGACAGCTTTGTTCTTGACGGCAACGGCACAGCGACTGTTTGCGACTCGACGGAAGGGGGATTAGTAGCACCGGAGGTCGGAGGAATAAGGGGTAGTGGCGGATGGAGGCAGGTGAATTGAAGTTGGTGGCTATAAAACCCGATTAGGGTTAGGGTTTAGTGGGTGATGGGTTTATATACCCTGATCCCATAAACTTCATTCCATCATTACACTTTGATGGGTTTCAAGCAATACATCAATCTTATGGTGTACATGCAAACCCTAATAGCTTTGGATCTAGTTTGTCTAATGAACATGCAATTGATTATCCAAAGCCATAAACCCTATATCTAATAAACTATAACTGAAATTAGGGTTTAAATCTTACCTTTGATTGTTATATAGCAATAACAATCAATCCTTGCCTCTAATGGAGTCAAAAACACCACTAAACAACTTAGATGAAGAGAGAAGAGATAGGAGCACCCAAAATCGTCCAAAAACCCTAAGGGAATCATTCCCCACGTTTTTGGGGCTTAGGGCTCCTTAGATAGGTAGGCGATTAGGGTTATCTAACAAGGAAACCCTCATTTGACTACTTAATCCCTAAGCAACCCATGGACTCTTTCTTTAGAAGCCTTGGACGATTTCTAATGGGTTTCCCCATATATTTTTGTCCATTCCACCTTCTATGGAGTCCATAAGTCCATCTATGTAATTATCTTATAATTACACAATAAGTCCCTTAAGTTTAATTAATCTCTTTTAGCCACAAAATTAATTATTAATTAATTCTTGACTAATATTTAATTAAACATTATGATTTCTCCTTTAATATATTATTCATTTAATATATTAATAAATCATAATTAAACCTTTCTTTCCTTAATTCATCCCACATATTGCTATGGTGATGGCAACCCAAAAGGACCATGCTCATAATCGGGTCAAGTACATACCAAAATAGTGATGGACTTAGACACTAATCCAAAAGTCTCCCACTTGGATAAG